TGTCAGTAAAACGAGGGCTGGAATGTCTCCACCTTAAAAAAATTAACATCCAAAGGAAGAAGAAAAAAAGTTTTAGTTAGGAACCAGTCTGGCTGAAGTACAACAGCTCAAAGCAGCAGAATTGCATTCCAAAGTTTTCCTTAGTAACTTCCAAGAGTCTCCCACATCAGTGTGGGAGAGGGCATTTTGCTTCCTCACGTAAATTGAAATCCCGCTGCCTTTTCTGCTTCACTTTTCTGCTTGATGTAGCAAATCCTCTGTGCAAAAGSCACTACATTACACCTCACTGCTCTGAGAGCTCCACTCCTGATATGACCTAAGGCGCTCAAGTGGCATCTATTAGAATAATAGATTTTATCAGTAACATGCTGAAGCCTCAGTTGTTTCTCTGGGGAGAATGAGAGTGGGTAATCTCCACGGTGCTGCCAGGAATGCCCTGAGATCTGCTGTTTGCAGTGCTTGGKCTGCAGACACGTTACTGCTAAGAGCTCTGAAGCCTAGAACAATACTTCATGTTTTGTGTTATGTGACTCTGGTTCTTTATTAGGAAGTCTCTTTCTAGCTACTGAAGTATGTTTAGGAATACATCTTGTTCCTATGGAAATCAGTGAGAATTCTGCCCTTGCCTCCAAATAGAGCAGGAACAGACTCCSTGTCTGCAACATCAGACATCTTGGCATAAAGTGAGAAAATTGGGAGGGCCTGCTAAGCTTCACTGGTGTGGAAAGGTCAGCCTACAAATCAAGAGACTGAAGGAGAAGCAGGCAGGCTGCTGCACAAGCAGGGGGGAGCYTCATCCCCAGAGAACATCCCAAATCCACTCCTTGGCTTCTTCACCCTGCACAGCCAGCACGAGCTGCCAGCCTGTCCTGGGAAAGGCAGAGCGGCAGCAGCGTCTCACAGCTGAGGTGCTGCTCAACTCCATCACTCCTCTGAGCAACACACAGCCATGGGAGGAACTGGGATTTAGAACTCATCAGAGCTGAGGYCTTTTCACCTATTTTACAAGTAGAAAACACACCCAGGTCCAAAATTTCCAAAATTACTTGAGAGGGTTTGAGTACATGAATTTGCGTGTGTGTAATCAGGCATCTTAAAGACAGGGGAGAGGTGTCCCTCCAGAAYGCATTTTTTAAAGCACAGATTTCTACGGACTGTTTCAAACTTGGGCTTTAAAAGCTGAAGTAGTTYAGAAATTATTGGAARYAGAATATGGCGAGTAAGTGAAAGGTCAGAAATGAGCTTTTCTACATCTTCATGTTTAAGAAGTTCCATTTTAGAAAAGAATAAAAKGACAGAAATTTGAGAGTTTTACATTACCACTGGTACATAAAAATATATTCTTTGTTTTATCTTAAGTTTGGCTGTCAAATTCTGATGAAAGGCAGGAGCCTACCCTATGTAAGAGAAGAGAGRTCACTTTAAAAGTCAGTTTTTCACCTACAGATCTTTCACACAAAATAACTCTGCCTCARTCTAAAAGACAGGTTCATCAGAAGGCACCAGTATTGATTATTTGGTGATTTTGAAATGAAAACCAAACAAAACCCCCTATAGCTGAATCAAGTACATCACAATTTGAAACACTTCATAGCAGTTTATGAAGAACATAATTGAGTTCACAACTGGAATAACAGAAACATCTCTCATACCTTCCTAACTCCATTACTCACTCCTGCCAAATGAAGTTGTGTACTTTATAAGCTCAAAAAGTACACCTGAAAATTCATCTGCCCAACCCTCTCCTAAAAACACAGAAAAAAATATCACTTTGGATATTTAGTGCTGGTTTCTGCCCTTCGCGAGCCACTTGCTGCCAATGTGCCTACTATAAATTCAAAATTGCCTTATTTTTTTCATCCAGAAAAAAAGGTAGATTCAGCCTGAAAGCAAACATAGGTGTTCAGGAAAAGCACTGATGAGCCAATCTTAATTTTCAAGTCCTCGGAGTACAGATTTGTGAAGTTTTTCTCTGCAAGCTGTTTTTTTCAAATACATTCAGCAAAACAAATGTTAAGGAGCTAGCCCTAGAAGTAATTCCTCCACTAGATCTTCACATCCATCTCCAACAATCTCACTGCCTCTCAGACCACTGGTGCACAGATGCATAGAGGACAGAGACAGGAAAAATGCTGGCTACCATTTATTTTTGTACTGAACTAACATTTTGCTGCTCYACCAGCACATGCACATAGCAAGATTCCAAACATGCAACACTGGTGATGATGATGATGAATGGGGGTAGGGAAAAGTTAAAATAGAAGAGTGAAGTGGCTTGTCCAGAGTAGATCAGTTACAGAGAAAGGAGTTCAATCACCTCCACTAAACACTGGTCCAGTATCTTATTCATCCCAGGTGTGGGACTTTCAGCACCAAAGAAACAAAAAATATTAAGTCTATTTCCCCACAACAGCAAAGTTTAAGCAATAGGCAGGTTGTGCACTATGTAGTATCTCGAATAGGAACAACATTAGAAGCATTTTTGTTTAGGAAATCCAGTGCCCATTATATCCAAGTTACTTTGGTATAATGTTGAGTAAAATACAATGTAAAACGATATTGTTATCCATATCTGTAGATTTAACTTCCATGTCCATGTACTYTTTCCCCACTCCTTCAAACACCTTTATCAGTGACAGTTTATATACTCAGATGTTTTCTCACAACCTTAAGTGATTATTTTTCTGAAAACATCTATAAAAGTAATAAGGGCTTGTTCTGAATTATGTTTCTTGCTACGTGTTATCAGTCTTAAAAAATAAAACTAAGAATTTCTTTTTTCCCCTTGAGGCAACTGGAGTCTGAAAAATAAACTGGAATATCTGTTGCTCTTATTATCCAATAATAAAAGACTGAGTTTTACAGAGGATGTAAAGCACAAGTAAAATCTGTATCACTTTCTCTCTACTTGTATTGATTGTGCAGCACTAAGTAGTAAAAATTTAATCAGTGTGGAAATTTAAGTCAATGACATCCAAAGGAAACAAGATGCCAACTAAGACTTCTTTTTTTTCTTTATCTTCAYGGGATTATCAAAGTTACTTCACTGGTAACTTGCTGGTGATGGGTGGGAAGCATTTGCAGACAGGTATCTGTCTTTGTGGGAAGTATTTGCAGACAGGTATCTCACTACTGAGTTGCTAAAAACCAGAATACAACAGTCAAGGTCACAGGCCTTGATTCTTTAGGGTATTTCAGTAAAAGCTTGAAGAGTGATTTGCCTGCACTAATGCATCTGGAATGAGGCATATATTTTAGCACTTTGCTGGACTGAGCTGAGCTGGGGATAGACTCTTTCTCACAATATGAAAGAGACAGCTATTTTACAATAGTTTATTCACTCAGAAGGAGTGTTTCAAGAAAGAAGAAAGAGTGTATGTCTCATTCAGAAGTTCCCCTACTATTATAACTTCCTACTCCTGCAATCTAAAACAGTCCCAACTGAACATCTCTCGGGCAGTATTTTATTACAACTGAATATTCCAAAATATTCATTCATTCCTTACACACCCACAATACCTCAATACAACACCATACATTAAACTCTTTCTTGCAAAACTGTGAACATTTCTAGAGGAGTTTCAGATGTTTTACCTAACTGATATTTAAGTTAAAGTATGTGTTTTCTCCCTCCCTCTGAAAAACCTTGTAAGTCCCTTTCAGGTTGCAATACTGAGGCACGTAACCAAGACTGTAATTATATTTCACAGTATTTTCTTCCTTACTCTTTCGGCTTCTCRCTGGATGTATACTTTTTGTGACAGTGGATATTCCTACAAATTTCAGAATGCTAAGGACTCTCTTTTTTACATGGCTCTGATGAAGTTAACCCACGAAAGCAGTTAAAATGGCATTAGAACCACTGTTTTCAGCTAGAGGATAACAGTACATATCTTCTGAAGACCAGACTGTTCAATTTAAAATAAAAACTGGAGTTAAAAATGAGGGATTTTTACCGCTACCGTTAGAGAAAAGGAATGTATAATATGTGCTTACTCCTTGTAACAGAAGGCAATACACTCATATACTYAGTTTTAACATTTCTTCAGCTTAGATAAAGTGTTTTGCTTGGTTAGCTCCAAGCACAGGTACAAGGGAGCAACATTTCCTTTTGCAGAGCAGAGTGGGGTATGAAGAAGACAGAGAGACCTGTCAAGGTCACACCACAGGGTGATGACAAAGTTACACAGGAAGTCACCACTGATTCCCAGCTCAGCTGTAACAGATGGAACACAATGATCCTCAAAGGGCTCTGTGCTGCCAAATGACACACAAACAAAAAGATAAGTAACATCACAGTTCTCAGTACTAACACATCTAAGGAGCACTTTGAACACGAGACAAGTAAACCACATCTTAGTTTGAGCTCTATAGCTAAACGAGGTAATGCAGCAAAACAAGTACTAAGGAATCTTACACAACTCTCATAGTTCCTTAATCACATCCACGTATCGTTAATTAAGTCTGGGGAAATAATTGAGCGTTGGAGAAAAAGCGAACGGGGACCATAGGATCACGCAGGGTTTATTTGCTTGTTTTTGTCCTCCGTGACAAAACACCATACTAGTGCGAATATGAAAAGAGAAAAAATCAGGCAAACAGATAACCCCGAAGGCACCGAGGGGTCCCGTTGTCATGGAAACAAGTCGCCGCTAATGAGCTTTCCACGGCATGAGTGATTAATACCCGACTCCTGTAAATAAATATTGATTCAGAACCCAAGCACACACTCCCCCCACCCCGTCGGCAGCCGCTGGATCGGGGCGCACAGCAGCACGGCCGCGGCTCCCTGCGCACAAAGGGGACCGCACCAAGTGTCCCGAGCGCTGCTGCCACCGCGCTGCACAAGGCGGGCCGGGCCGGGCTCTCTGCCCCGCTCTGCCCCGCTCGGGGAGCGGGCACGGCTCCCGCAGGTCTCCTGCAGCGAACGGAGCAGCACAACCCGCGACCGACACCCGCCCACCCCGCGCAACCCCCGCACGGCCACACCGACCCCTAACCTTGCGCTAAGTCGCTCCGCGGGCACAGCCACTTTTCTCAATAGTTGCAAGGCGAAACCACGAAGGAGAGCGCAGCTCCGGCGTATGGCCGTGGACAGCAGCGATTGCCAGGGCGGAGAGGGCAGCTCCGACCTCGGGCAGCAGAGCACGGTGCTTCAGCCGACGAGCGGGTAGACTAGGCAGCGATGCACAAGAACTGCTGCGACCTCCTTCCCCGGCTCCCCCATCCTCTCCTGTCCCCGCCCGCTTCTCCACCTTCTCTTTTCCTCCCCCCGCCCCCGCTCCAAGCAGCTGCTCTCGCTCCACCTGGGCCGGCTCTCCAGGTGCCGCCTGCTCCCCCGCGCGTCCCCTCCAGCAGCTGGAGCTCCGGCCCGGCTGCGCCGCCTCTCGCCGCGCTGGCTCCGCTGTCCCGCACGGAAACTTCCCCGGCCCCTGGCGCTCCTCTCCTTTCGGAGCAGGCTGCTCGGCTCGGCGGGGACATCGCTGCGCGGAGCCCTGTCCCGGCTCGGGGACAGGCAGGGCCGCTCGGAGGTGGCCACTCACCTCAGGAAAGCCCGGCGGCGCCCTCCGGGGATGGGGGCAGACGCAGCGCCGGCATCACCGATGGAGGTGAAACCTGGCGGGGGCGCGGGGYGCACCCCCTGCTCTCTCCCTCTCCTTCTCCTCTTGCCGGGCTCCCCGGGTAGGGATGCGCTGCTCGCCCTGCTGGGCCGCCTCTGCGGTGGCCGTCGCCCGCCCTCCTGAGCTGGGGGGAGGATGGAGGGGGCGCTGGCAGGGCGGGTGCGGCCGGAGCGGGAGCCGTGCGGTGCCGCTCCGCTATGCACAAGGCTCGGTTTCCCCCGGGCAGGCTGGGCTCTGGCACCAGCGAGGGGACGGCCGGGGCCAGGAGGCGACAGAGCGGCGGCTTCCCCAGGGCTCCCAGCCAGGCGYYGCTCCCTGCCCGGCTACGACCCGGSYCTGCTCCCCTGTTCCTCTTCTTCCCCCTTCCCGCACGCTGCTCCCTCCCACCCCCCTCTGTCGTTACGAGCGCACCGGGGATTAAGTGTACTTTCAATTTTAAGAGCATTATATTAATAAATAGCGATTCGGTGATTTTAAATTACTCTGCGAGCATCCGGCAGCCTGCTAAGCAGCAATCCCCTCCAGGCACGGTTTAATCGGAGGGATGAGAGGGGGGGGGCGCCGCGTCCTCCTATGCCTCCGGCGGGGCTTGCCCGGGGAGCCGCGGCCGAACGCCCACCTGCTATGGGGTTCCTTAGGAAAAAGCCTTACGGGAGAGCCCTGCCCGTCCCGGGAAGGTGGCGGCCCGCTGAGGGCACAGGTGCCGGAGGGAGGGACGGAGGGAGCACCGGGAGAGCACCGGGAGAGCACCGGCCTCCGCCTGGGAACAGCCCCACAATTTGGGTCCCACGTCTCACCAGAGACTAAAGCAGCCCAGGCGAGGCAGGGGCTGGCCGTGCAGCCGGAGTTTAGGCGCTGGAGGAAGTGCATGTCTTCAGAGCAGGGGAAGCCTGGTTTTTGTACGTGACGCCAATAGACACACGGACAGGCAGCGCGATGCGAGCACTCCTGGCTCCGCGCTGAGCCGCGATTCCCGAGCTCACCTGCGCAMCCGGTGGCACCTTGCTGCTGCGACAGCAGACGTGCCTTTCCTAGACAAAGACCAAAGCAACTCCGAGATACGAAGAGGAGGRTGAACATTAATTCACTGATTTGAGGGCTCAGCCCTCAAAAAATGGCTAAAGSTTCCCCTTCTCCCCCTCCCTCCTGTTGCATCACACCTCCGGAGCCCAACAGGTGGCTGTGACCTCACAGAAGTTCTAAACTTATTTAAGTAATGTCTATAAATGACCTCTCTCATTAATTCAGATTATGAGAAAAAAATACTTTTCATTTACATTTTAATGCATAAATCATGTAAAGTAGRGAGCTCCAGACACTGTTGCGAAAGTGATGACTCATGCCCACCACATGTACATTATTTATTGTCGGAGGATGGGACCGTGTTTAAATTAGGCTGCTTGATAACCTAATCTGGATGCTCTGAACTGCCTCCCTATAATTATGTTCTGGGGAAAATAAATCATCATTTCTTAACCCCGGTCTCTCTCCCTGACACATTTTAATTCAGAGTTCTGTGTGGAACTGCACGTTTTGAATTTCCTAGCAGGTGGAGTGCCCTTTCTGCACAGACCCTGCATGTGGAAAGGGACGATYGCAGATGTACTTCTCAGATCAGGCAGGAATATAAACTATGGCTTTCCTCACATTAACAAATAAAAACTGGACAATTCTGAACAGAAAGGAAGATGCCCTGTCAGCTTGCACCAATTTCTCATGCTGGCATGTCTCATTACACGGGTGTGTAARACTAGGCTTCACTGTCCCATTGGGACTAATTCTGTTCCAGACACCAAAAAAAAACCCTCCTTAAGGCTAGATGGGCTACTGTTATTTTTTTTTTTTTCATAAAATAATTACAGAGCAGAGAAATGGTGGACCACCAGTTCACCTGTTGGTTTCCTTCTTACAGTCCTGTATGRTTGCTGATTCCTCCATTTCACTGAACCTTGACAGTACGAGGGCAATAAGCTGTTCTGTTCCCTATGYTTCATTTGTTTTTCCTTTTTAAGCAGATGGTATCAAGGAAGCTCTTCCCACACATACACAAAGATTCAAAGTCATTCCTGTGAGGAACTCAGGCTTCAGCTACTCCTTTTGTTCTGTGCTTCTCTTTCTCTTAGAGTGACACACTCTCACCCTCACCCGTTTCATTGTTGTGAGTGGCCAAAGGAAAAGCTATGGCTGGAGTGAGTCTCCTCTAAATATGACTGTTGTGGGTTAAGATTTTTTCCCCTTTTGTTCCCTTTCTTTGGGAATTTCTTCTTTCCCATTTGTTGCTGGGATACACTAACTGCCAGGTCATCCTTTTGATGACTGGGTGATTAGTAAAGACAATGATACCTATGGCCCCACCTAAACGATATTGCAAAACCCTAGGAGGGGGTATTGAGTGTGTGTGGTGGGGGGCAACTTCACTTCCTTCGCTGCTTCGCTGAGAGAAGGAGATCTGCCTGCTGGCTGCTCGGAGCGGGGGAGAGCTGGCCTGCCTTTTTCTGCGGAGCCCAGTATCTCTGCTCATTGGGTTCCTGTTTGCTGCACTGTGATCTTTCTCTCCTGTGCCTTGCCGGGAACCCGTGCTATTTCAGCTTCAGGGGTGAGCTCTGCTCCATCCCGTCTGCAGCCGTGGGATTTCTGCTTGTCTCTTTGCCGTCCTGGGTTTCTTGCTGTTCAGAGGAGCACCGAGATCAGCGTTTCTGCTGTGAGTTTTTCAGAGGAACTTTTTCTCCGTCCATCTCTGCCATTTTTGTGTCCGGCTTTGGCCACGCGGGAGATCTGAACCAGCCGGGACCCGCACCACAGCGCCCCCTGCAGCCGCCGGGGAATCATCACACCCGCCCTGCCCGGCCGGGAGCCAACAGCGCCCCTGCCGACTGGGACCGGAACTGCACCAAAGGGGAGGCTGTGTCTCTGTGTAAGGCTGTCATTGAGTTTGTGACTGGGTTGGTTGTTGCTATTGTTGTTGTTACTTGTTCCACCTTGTTATACATATTAGTAAAAACTGTTATTCCCTTTTACCCATATTCTTGCCTGAAAGCCCGTGATTTTCAAAGTTATAATAATTCAGAGAGAAGGGGAGTTATATCCACCACTCCAAGGGGGGTCCCTGCCTTCATTGGCAAACACCTGTCTTTCAAACCGGGACAATGACACAAACAATTCTGTGTTACTCATGCCTATTTGGTGAGAAGCAAACATTTGCCAGTGGATAMATGTGTGAGGGGGAAGACCAGGATGGAGGGTGTTTATTTTTGGTCAATATTTTGAAGGAAAGAGAGAAATGCTGGACTTTCAGTGGTTTAAGCTTTCATTTGGCTTTTAGTCAGATCCCAAACCCACAGGGCTGAAACACAGCAAACAGTAATAGGAAATGTAAATTAGGACAAGAAATTAAAATTAAATTCTGATCAATGATTCTGTCATCCCTTGCTAATGCCAGATGCAGCAACCAAATGCTTGTGTCCCAACAGCCTCATCRTCATCTGCTTGATGTTGTGTGGCTCTTTTGGCAGCAAATATAAAATAAAACCAATCCTATATTTTAGTGAGTTAGTAGACACTTTCTATTTTGTAAAATGCCTCCACATCTTCCTGCTATAGCATTCCTGTATCATAAAATAAAAGCTGTTTAAAATCATGTCTTCTACCACAGTGTAAATTGAAGTACTTCTCTTGGTATGGAGGGTGACACCAAACACAAGATGGGTGGTTTAACTGTCACTCCTGCCCAAACCAGTGTGGAACTGGTGTTAGGATTCTATAAACATTCTTGAAGCCCTGGGTTTGAAAAGGACTACCTACAACATAAATACTAGGTTATTGTTCCAATTAGCTGAGGTTTCCAAAAAGGAGAAAACAAAAGGAAATATCAGAGGGAAACCAATACTTAATTACAATAGTGCAAGTACATCTATCTGTGTGATTTGTGCACACATATAGGCACATACACACAAATATACACATTTATTTTCAAGCCCACATCCAGGGAAGTATCACACAGTGCAGGTGCCACTCCATACAACCTGGTGGTGAGGGCTTGTACTGATAGATCCACCTCAGAACACACAAATGTGGGATTCGCATTAATCCTGTTATCCCTGAGGGAACGACATTCATTCTTCCTCTACAGAGCATCCTGCTGTGAATTCAAAATGCTCTCTCTTCCATTTGACTCCTAAGCAAGCCAGACTGCAGCACCTCTCTGCCCCTCACATGCACTCCAGGCAGGTGCTGCTCAGAAGGGCAAGATAGGAAGAGAGCTATTTTTGTGTAAGCAAATTAAAAATATTGGTCACTCCTGTGTGTAGACAGTGGGTTCTGCTACAACAGCCGAGATCTTAAACACATTGACACTTGTCACAGAAATATTACAGTTTGTGCAATGTCCCTCACCAGCTCAGCAAGGCCATCCCCAGCCTATCTTTCTCCCCACTATCSGTGAGATGCTTTTTGCTCTTTCCTTTGATTGCCAAGGAGAAAGAAAATGTCTGATTGCTCCCAAAAGGTTAACAGACCTGTGCTGTACTGTGCCCTTGAAAAGCAGAGAGGGGAGAGCTGCAGTAGCTGTCCA